TGTTACGTCTACGATCACGCTGGAGCACAGAGAGGTCGGTCATTTCTAAGTGTTCTCTTTAAAGGTTACATTAATAACCCTGTCCCCGGGACCAGCAGGTGTGGTGGATAAGGGCGCTGGACTCCCACATGACCAACCATGGTTCAAGTCCTGGACCTGGTGGCTTGCTTTCTCACTTTCCCTTTCTCTCTCTCTCTTGTCAAATAAAGAAAAAAATAACAATAACAAATAGAAATAAATAAATAAATAATTCTTTTAAAAAAACTATTAAAAAAAAAAAAACCTTGTCCCCAGAAACACAGGCTCAGTCTACATGAAGCACAAACCTGGCTCTCGAGATGTCTGCTCCCCACTCCAAATGACAGCACTGTGTGTGTGTTTTAAGAGGGATTTTGGCCAGAGGGTGTGTGCTTGCTGGGGAAACACAAAGTAAGACATCGCCCCAGGGGGATGGTCACGCCACAATCCCTCCTTCTGCACTCTCCTCTCAGGATTCTGGGCACACACACACCCGCACCTAGCACGAGTTTCAAGCTGCTGGTCTAGGGCTTGAACCGTCAACCACGTGGGAGTCCAGCGCTTTAGCCACTATGCCACCCGCTGGCCCCCGGGACTCTGTCCTGATCTCACTTCTCACTGCTTCTACAGTTCTGAAGATGCTGCCTTGGGACCAGCAGTTAGCGTAATGGCTATGTCGCTGGATTCCCATGTAGTTGACTGTGGTTCGAGTCCCGGACCCAGCGGCTTAAAATCACTCCAGGAGTGTGTGTGTGCATGCCCAGGATCCCGAGAGGAGAATAGAGGAGAAAGGACTGAGGTGAGGCCATCCTCCCGGGGGATGATTTCTCACTTTCTGTCTCTCTGTCTCTCTGTCTATCTGGCGAGTGCATGTGCCCTATAGCAAAAACCTCTCCAAAAAAAAAGAAAAAGATACTGCCTTTCCCTCTGGCTCTCGTTTTACTGGAGCAGGAGACCAGGGGACTGGGAGGGACAGCATCCAAGTCCCTCTCGTTCTAAAGCACTAGGAGGCTTGCAGCTCAGCTCAGGACGAGAGAGACACAGGCGTGACCCTGAGGCTGTTCGGCCACCACGATGGTGACTAGTCCGTGGAGCTGAGGCTCGCCCTCCACTCACAGCTGCTCCTGGAGGCTCCTGGAGGCCGGGGTGGGCTAGCCCCACGCAGCTGTGCAGGAAAGCGGGGCTCTAGAGGGAGGCTCGGTTCGGGCTGTGGCAGTGCTCGCTCGCGCTCACTGCCCGTCCTGCCCGTGACAGCGAGGATGACTGCTGACGCTTCCTAGACCAGCTGAGCACTGCACCAGCCCTGCCTAGCCTCACCCAGGAGGTTGTGCTAACAGCGTCCACATTTTACAGACAGACAGACAGACTCGGGGCTTGCTGCCGAGACGGCAGAGGACGGGGCACAAACAGAGAGCAACGCCCCGATTCTGAGGTAAACTCAAGCCTGCCCGTGCACTTCCGGCCTCCCTGCAGCCCCTCTCTGCCTTCCTCGGAGCCCCGCCCAGGAGCACACCCCCAGCACCAGCGGGAAGGGCCACCACGCAGCAGCAGAAGCGCCAGACGCCCGCCTCGTGGACGTCCTGGAGTGGACGCTGCTGGCTTCCGATCCCACAGGGAGGACCCTTTCAAACCCTGGACGACTTGGCTTAGAGGAGGGAGCGAGGCGGACACAAACATGCTTCTCTGGCCAATGGTTCCATGCCGTGAGGCACCCTGTCCGCAATCTCTCAGTCACCCCAGCTGTCCTCCCACCAGGCGGCAGTGTGGCCCCTGGGCTGGCTCCGGGGTTCGGGTTCCTCCTACAGAGGACAGGCACCCGGCCCTGCCCCACCTCACCGGCCCCTCCCCAGCTGCAGGCCAGAACACGGAGGCATGACCTTCCGGGCTCTGACCACCGTCTACCCAGCGCAGTTGTCGGAGCCCCAGCTCTGGGTCTATGACAGCAGAGACGGATGGAAGCGGCCGGGCGGCAGAAAGGGAGCGTGTGAAAGGCACTGCGGGCGCCAGCCCCAGGTCCCTCGGTCCCACGGCCACCTACCGTGGCAGAGCATGAACCAGCACTCCAGAATCCCAGCGCTTGGCAAGCAGCTTCTCGGGCCTGGGTCGGGGGACAGTGACTAGCTGCACAGGACAGTGGCCACTGCCACACTGTGGGGGACATGGGGGCCGCTGAGTCCTGCACATCGCCTGGAGACCACTCACCTTGGACCACATGATCCCGACTGGCCGTGGGCGCTCGCAGCCCGTGGCGATGACTCTGGTGGGAGTGAGGATGTAGTCCACTGTGACATCGTGGTCCCCCAGGAGGGCTTCGGGGATGTCCACGACCTGGTCAGACGGAGAGGGAAAGCTGCCGGGCACCGCTCCCTAGCCCACAGCGGCTCAGAGCAAAGCCGAGCGCCCCATGCCCCCAGCCGCCCCGGCCCCACCGTCAGCACCCCGACCCCTCCAGCCCGCTCTGGGAAGCACCTGGCAGTCGTGGACCACGGTAACCACTGGCGTCTGCTGGCTGACGGCTCCCATCGACACCATCATGGCGTATTCGAGATCAGCGTAACCTTCGCCCTTCCCGATTCTCCAGCCTGTAAGACCACAGAACCTTCACGGGGCCTGCTGCATCTCTGCAGAGGGCATGTTCTTTTCTCCCTTTCTCTTTCTTTTCTTTTTTTTAAATTTTGCCAGAGGATGCATGC